ACAAATGGTTGTAAGTCACCGACTACCTGTATAACATAAATTGATACATAGTTGTGAAAGAATGACATCCCTCAGTGTGGAAAGTTAAATGGTTTTGACCTTGTTTGACTTTTTCAAGTCAATTTTGACTTCAAGCAACTGTCTGGACTTGTCTGTGTAGTTTTCTTGGTCAGGTTTTTCAGAAGTAGTTTGCCACTAGCTGCTTCCTAGGGCTAAGAAAGAATGACTTTGTGCTAAGGCAGGACTAGAATTCCCTATCTCCTAGATTCTAACCCGATGCCTTAATCATTACAAGAAGCTGGCGCTCTATTTGACTATATCATTATTTGTTATTCATATGCAGTCCAAATTCGTGAAATTATGCCAACTAATAAAAGCAATTATTAATCAAGTAATCTTTGCAAGAACTGAATTTCAAGTTGATTACCAAACCAACTGTAACCAATTTTCTAAAGGCCATTGTCAAGATGCAAGACTACTGTATCCAAAGTGGTTCATGGGACCCAGTTTTTCTGTATTTTGTTACATCCCCAGAAGATTCCAATCTAAAATGATAAAATGCTGTTTACTGATGTTTTATTATATACTATATATACATTATAATATCACATTCAGTCTCTGGTGATAAGATGTTCTTATTTCATTTCATTTTACTTTTAAATGCATTCAAATGTGTTGTGAGTTAGCTGTTCCTGAGAATAAGATGCATCTTAAACACTCTATAATTTGATTTGCTTGTAAATAAGAATTATGGGAAGTGAATGTCTGAATTAGCTGAATAACTTGAGAAATCTTAGTTTTCCATGCAGATTGAACCTTATTAATAATGCTGATACAAAAATTAAAACAGCAACATCCTGTTTCAGATTATTCAAACGCTCAAAGAATTATTCAGGAATTCAGTTCTTTAAAAGCTCAGGTCAAAATATTTCCAAAATTATTCTGTACAATTCTGGTGAGTTTAAACAATCATTTATAAGTAAAAATTGAATATGATTTATCTTTAATTTAGTTGCGTACATGTTTCCTTGTGTATAACTTCACCATGTGATCACACATGTGCACCTAAAGATAGTCTTATAATTTCCATATTAATAATAAACGACTCCTCTTCAAGTCACTGTTCATCATAACTTTTTAAAAAGTAATAGAAATGCAATATTGAAAAAGAAAACAAAAATGTAGCATTTGTCAATTATGCAATAATCATACAAATTCATTCTCATTTCTTTCATGCAGACACTGAATCATCAGTGTTTTCTCTATTTGTCAATTAAAAGTATTTTTAAATAATCACCACAAAAATAAATGCATACAATAAGTGGAATTTTTATTTCAACCTGTTTAAATATTATCGCCAAGACTTAGTTCTGGGCTGAAGCTTTTTGTGGGCATTTTTCTCAAATTTGTTTGAGCAAATTTGTTTATGTATATATTTACAGTATTTTTATAGCTGCTCATCTCAGTCTAGGTGACTCTCATTAATACAGTCTTAAAAACAAGAACTAGTAAACAATATAACTAAGCTAAAGCTCCTAAAAGCTACAATCCAATCAAACCGTACTAACAGCCTGCCCCAATAATATTGTGCTGTATTTCAAGATTAATATTGAAGACAGTAACTGCCTTTATCCTGAGATATTTGCACAAAGTATATAGTGTAAATTGCACATATCTGCTACTTGACTTGCAAAGTTTACGTGTGCATATGCATCCTAGTTGTTGTCAGTAGCCTGTTTGTACTGCCTAGCTTTTGGTTTGCAAAGTATATATCTACACAACTTTTGTAGTAATTGCTAATATATTTCATTAATTGGGTTGCAAGGGAGATGTTAGATTAGAGATCCTAGCATGCATTAAATAGTGTAAGCATGCTTGGAATAGAATTGGACATTGGTAGTGCTTGCAGTATGTTGACAAAAATATGTCAAAACTGATTACAGGTAGTTTTTGACTTATGACTAGTCACTAAATGAACTGTTATAAGTTGAGGACTGGCTGTAATTTTGTCCTTGCTGTTAGCAGAGCATATGACATGCGGCATAGGTGTGAAAATATACAAGTCTTGCTTATGATGATGTTAGAAGTGGGTTTGTCAGGGATGATGTGAATGTATATTTTCGATTTAGATAATGCCTTGTTTTGGCTGAGAACCCAAATTATTTCCAGTTGCTAGGAGCAATACTATTGTGAGGAATCTGGATCTGAAAATCAAGGTGATGATGATGATGATGATGATGATGATATCCCTTCAGTTGTGTCTGACTTTTGGCTATTGATGAAAGTTTTTGGATTAATAATGACAATGAGTGATGGCAATGCATATATAAATGGCAAAAATCTAGTACAAGTAGATGAATGTGTATAATTTGGTAGAATATTAATAAACATTGGGAAATGGATAAAAATGAAAGTGTGCAAATTTATTTATTCATTTATTAAATTTATATACCATCCATCTCACTATCAAGTGATTTTGGATGGCTTACAACATCATAAAGACAGGAATATAAAAACATTAAAATATCAAAACATTAAAATTAGCAAAAAAAAATCACTAAATTAAGAACCAGTTCAGGAGTGGGATAGAGGTGGGATCTTCATCTAATCCACTAGCAACTTCTAGCATGGAATGACCCATCATATATATGCCTTTTCTAGTGGTAAAGCTCTAGAGCAGGGGTGTCAAACTCACAACATCACGTGACATGTCGCAACGTATTACAACTTTTTTGCCATTGCTGGCAATGGGGTGGGCGTGGTTTTACTATGATGCATCCAGCCTACAGGCCAGCAGTTTGACACCCCTGCTGTACAGGCCACAAAAGGGGCGATTTTAACATGCTGTCAATCATGGCAAACAAGGATCAGATCCTGTTAGGTTTATCCTATAGCTTCTGTTTCCCACCCCTTTTCAGTTTTGAAATTTTAACATTTAGAAATTTGCTGTCTTCATTGAATTGTTAGATGGTGACAAAACATGAGAATCTCTTTTCTCCAGCAAACTTTGATGTCATGCCCTTTAGGATTTGACTTTATGAAGGTTCATGTATTTCTAATAATACTAAATCCATGAAACCTATGATTTGCAATTTTATAAAGATCTAGAGAAAGTGTACTGCTGCACAGGATGCAAGTAGCACTGTATTAGTGACCCTTCATTTTTGTTTTTCATCGTATGTGAGAAGAAATTTATATAACAAAAGTACGACTTTCTTCCCAGCAAAGAAAAAGAAACAATTGTTTATATTCTTAACATTTTACTCTTGTTAGTGGCTTAAACCCTTTTTTACTTAAGTGAGTTGAGAGACTTTCAGCTTGCCCAATTTCTAATGTTCTTTTATTCATCTCCATTGTAAGCATTGTGTGCCCTGCTGCTGCTGAGAGTAATGGAAAAGAGGGTCTCCAGTAGCCCAAATGGTGATGTGGCATGTAGGGAGGTATGGGAGAACCCTGAGGAGCAGGTCAGCAATGTCCATCAGTTCCTTGTAAAGTAAAGCTAGGAACCTAACCCAGAGAGTTCTCTTCCTGGTCCACTTCACATTGGGACAACCATGTGTGTCCAGTCTCCCCTGGTGCTGACTTCCCAACTGCCTCTTCCCATGTGTGTTCCTTATCCCTAGGGCAGGGGTAGGCAACCTTGGCTCTTTTATGACTCGTGGACTTCAACTCCCAGAATTCCTGAGCCAGCCATGCTGGCTCAGGAATTCTGGGAGTTGAAGTCCACAAATCATAAAGGAGCTAAGGTTGCCTACCCCTGCCCTAGGGGAATAAGTCACTGACTGATGAAGCCAGACCTGAATTTCACTTTCAGAAATAATTCTCCTTCATTGGTATCAGAAATAATTGTCCAATATGTTTCAGCTTCTTGGTAGGGATATGAATATTTGAATTATTGTGTCTGCGCCTTTCTCTTTCTCTACCACAATTCATTATCAAAGATATTGCTTACTTTCAAAATAAGCAATGCTTAAGACATCCCTCCATTCTAAATAGAGGGTCCCAGAAAAGAAACTTGGAATTCCAGTTTCAGAATTTAGTTTATCTCAACTGCTAGCCAAAAAAAGGGGGGGGGTCAAACATCACAAGCTGCAGGAAAGGCCCACACAATAGGTTCATGGTTATTACGTCCTTTGTAATCCTCCTCCCAACATTACCCAGCCTGCAGCCAGAGCCAGCCTGTGGGTGGGCTAGTTATTGGCAGGATGATTGTCTTATGCCAAGTCAAATTTTAAGCTATCACTCAAAACATTATTGCCATTTTTAACATTCTAGTTGCATGAGATTTCACTCCGTCCCTCCCAGTTCCTGGTCAATCCCTTGCTCCCCCAAAGGGCTTTAGCTCAGTTAATTTAGGTCAGTTAATACAAACAGGCAATGCATGTGTTTCCCAGTTCTCCTGGTAAAAAAGCAAAGGTTTCATCCCAGTACCTGGGGTGCTTTTTAAAATGCACCTTTGGATTCTGGTAAGTGGATATTATAAAGAGAGAAGTTGAGGCATCCACTTTTTCTCATTATCTTCTAGGACTTTGACAGTAAAAGTTTAACAAGATTTCAAGTTACTTCTGAAAGCTTTAAAGAGAGAGAGAACAAGCTTTCTAAAGAAAGGGGAAGAATTATCCCGGGTCAAGTTCAATCTTTTCTAGCTAGTGCTCCCCTCAAGTATTGAGAAGCTGAAGAGGGGCAAGTTCTCAAGAAGCTCCCAAAACATTTGTTATGGAGAATAATAGGCCAATCTCAGGATATGTCACATCCCTGTCCAGAGAGCTTTGGAGTCTAAAGAAGGAAGTACGCTCGTACAGCCTTCGCTTCTGTTCCCTAAAGAGGGTAGATAATCAGCTTCAAATGAACGGGATTCTCGCCTGCCACGTCCAGCCAGAAACGGCGGACTCGGGAGGACGATGCGTGCCTGCCTTGGCCATCCTCGCCGCATCAGCTGAATAGACCAAGCGTGAAAGTGGGCTAAAGAGGGGGAAGGACAAAGAAAGCTGCCCGCTTCCAGGGTACCCACGCTCATCAATATTCCCAACGCTCAACTATCATCGTCCCCCTCTTCCCGAACACACGTTTTACTGTTCTGCGTGTGCCCCCCTCCCCTTGGCTTGGTAGACTCCTCCCCTTTCCTTAACTCGCTGCGATTTGCCAGCGGAGTACACGCTTTTTCTCAACTTCGTCTCCCTTTACTTTATTGTCACACACCACCCCCCTTTTATCTCATTGGTATCTTCTGGGGAACCTTACCTTTGCCCATTTGCCCCTCGGAGGACTCCAATTTTGAAGAGGTGGGTGCGCTTATTAATTTCAAGTCTGTGTGTTCCTTTCTTCGGTTTTCTTCTTCTTTTTTTCCCTACCCGGTTAGATGAGAGCACACCTTGACGTTGACTTGTTTCCTTTTCTCGGGATTTAAAAGAAAATGAGAAGGAGGGTGGGAAGAGAACTTTTAATGCTCCGGATCTGGGACGTGGGGAGAGATTGAATATCTGGGTTGAGTTGGGTTTTTTTAAAAGCAAATGTTCATTACGCTTTATACTAAAATTATACATTTATACAATGATGGATAGACTGTGGGATTTTCCCGCCTGCGATCTGAAGTGGGTAGAAATGAATATTTAATCCCACGGGCGAAACAAAAGGATTTGATTTTTGAGTGAGTGCGCTTTATTAAAATTCTCTTATTTTTAGGAGTTTGAGAAAAAAAAAAGAACAGGATTGTTGAGTGAAGAGTGAAATGCATAACTCGGTGTAGATATTATCATTTCTGATCTGTTAGAATATTTACTGAGGGAGATTTAAGCAGCTATTAGCAGTAATTTTCAACTGTTTCAGCTGCGGCACAATATTGAATATAGCAATAGTTCTGTAGCATGTCAGAAAATTATTAATTGTGTATAGATACTGACTTGAGGGGAAATTCTACATCTTTTACTGTTATACACTTAAGAGTTAGGAAATAAGACAAAAATCTAGTGGTACACTAGAAATACATTTGTGACATACCTGCTATTGAACGTATTAAAGAGGAATCTCTGACAGTGAAAGTGAACTTGATTTAAATCAATGAGTTTTTTAAAAAGTCTGTAGACACTGCATTGGATGTGTGACTTGTGAGATTTGGTTTATTGTGATTTACAATAAAGATGTAGCCTCCTTTATAAACACTTGTACTAAAAATGCCACTTTAAATTCTTAGTTGCCCTGGTGAATTAGTAAAATAACTACAACATAAATCTGGGACAGGAATGCATCTCAGAAGTTCTTCTAAAGTAGCTGAACATGTCAGGTGTGATATACGCCATGATGTATGCCATGATTGTTTAACTTTTCTTTTAGCCCACATGTCTTATATATTAATGGGAATTAGTCCTTTCTTCAGTGATGCAGTATAAAACGGGCACATATTGCCAATATCATTTTTCCAGATTCATCATAATAAGCTCACTATTCTTTGATTTTGATTTCCATCCATACCGTTATCATCAGCAAGTCAATATTATGTAATTTTTGGCCTTTTCAATGGATAGTTATTAAAAAGTTAACTTCCAATAAGTATGAAATTTGCTTATTAATATCTATATTTTAAGTAGTCTATTTTTAAGAATGTTATTACAGAACATGATTTTGCTTTAAAAATGTAGCTAACTATAGATTAAACTCACATTCTTTTTATTTTTTTCTCTGTAGGTCTTATCCCTGGTAAAAAATATTTTTTTAATTCAATTTTTTTCCCCTTCTTATTACTGGGAAGATTTTTAAGAACACAAAAAAGTAAGGGGGATTTTTTTTATTCCTGAGAGAGAAATGTCTAAAGTTAACGGTGAAGACACAAGATCGGGGAATAGGATGGAGCGCTTCCAGCAAGGGGTCCGGAAACGTACTCTTATGGCAAAAAAGAAGGTTCAAAACATCACAAAGGAAGATGTTAAAAGTTATTTACTGAGAAATTTTTTTGTGCTTTTCACTATCATTGCTGTCATTGTGGGTGAGTAATTTGATCAAGACCAGAATCTTGAAAATTTTGTTTGGACAAGATTATTGCTGTTCACTTCTTTACCTTGCTGAGAATATATTTGTTGCTCCAAAAAATTTTTAGTCTTCATGTTGGATAAGCCGTGGAGAAATATTTCCCTTTTTCACAGTTGTAGTGCTACCTGCCATTACATATCCTATCAGTTCAGAAAGTTTAAGAAAGAAATTTCTTAAGCTGTTTTAAGCCTCCAATTTTTTGAGTAATTCCTAAATTCAAATGTTCATTGCAGTATCTCTTGATACTTATTAGAAATCAAAGAAAATCATCTACAATCTTAGCCCATTCTCTATTTATTTTCCATCAATTCCAAGCTATAAAAATTAGACACATCAAAGATCATAATATCAGTTATGAACAATAACAAACATAGGAATAAGAATTTCAACTGCAGCATTTAGTTCTCTTTCTCTTTTTTAAGGGAGTTGAACTTGTGCCTTCAAGGTCATGTCTCACATATTCTACTCCTGTCATTCAATCATTGATGGAAGATTTACCTGGCAAAAATAAAATTAGGGGATTTGGTTCCATATTGTTTCCAAAGTGGATTACTATAGAACAATGTTAGCTGTGTAGGTTTAATATTCCAAATATTTCTTAGTTCAAAAGGAAAAAGATTGGTTTGGGAAGACTTTGTAGCAACCTGAATCTAAAGACATGTGCAACTTGTTCTGTGTGTCAAGAACGTGGGTTTGTGTTTTCAATGCACTGGATTTTCTATTTGCTGGTTTGCAAATGCTTTGATTTTTCTAAACAATTTTTTTGACAAGGGTAAGGTAGGCATTGAGATGACGATGGTGGTGGGGGTGGTGATGATGATGGTGATGGTGGTGATGATGATGATGAGTTTTCCCTTCAACAGATAAATAGTTGGCATCTTTTTTCATTCAGGATTGCATGTGTTCAACTCACATTGGGCACAGCTAAAGAATTTCTTGAACTTTAGTCATTGGGCTTTGCTTTGCAAAAGAAAGTATTTTTATAAGAAGAAAAAAATAAACCATGTGAAGGAAAGTATTTGGATAAACAAAAATAATTTCTATGATGTATAGTCATAATCTTTATTTTATTTAAAGGGAGTATCAGGTACTTAGATAACATTAAAAACAAGGAAAGAATGTTTGCTTATTGTAATCAAAGGAATCATAATCCACCGTATGAAAAGGACTTTAGAACTATTTCCCTAGAGATTTACAGGAAAAGAAACCTGGGTGAGCATTTTGGGGAGAAGATGCTCAAAACATTATGGTACAGGGTTTCAAAATCATTTTCCAGGAGCTCCTACTACTTGCAGCTTTTACTTAAGCTTACATCGTTGCAGGGTTTTTATAGTTTGTTGGGATGTGAATGCCTACTGCATAAGCCCCACTGAAAAGAACTGGGAACATGCAAGAGAACGGTCTTCATGTGTATGTTACATTCCTCTCACTTGGATGTACAATCTAGTAAGTACAGCAGAAACTGGGAAGTTCACCTAAACACATCACTTCCAACTGCATACAGTGGAAGTGGATCTGACAAGAAATGAGGCACCTAATTATTACTAGTAATAATTAGTAAGCAAGCAAGCACAGTCTTAAGCAAAAACTTTTCTTTGCATCTTTATCATTATACCAATATGAGTCCCAAGAGGAGACTTATGTCGTGAGGTCATAATCTGGTATTTCTAAAAGCAGTCTAGGAGTAACATGATTTCAAATGGGATTTATTCCCAAGTGGACATATGTATGACTCCATGCATGAGAAATATATTCTGTTCTAGAAACTATCAGAAAGCATCTGTTTTATTCTTTGACTCAATATTTTAGTAAGCCCTCGTTGCATTTACATTTTAAGAGTGGAATTTTTTTTAGGGTAAGGGATTGATTAGGCTTAGAATTATGCTGAATGTAACACTTTTAGATGCTTCTCTAAATATAATTAATGGACAATTAATTTGATTATATTGAAAAATAATTCTCTAAGGATCCATTGTTGTGAAACAATTATGGAAACAATTCCAAGGAACTGTTTTGCTGTGCAATTTGAATTGATTACAAAATCAGATCAGATATGAGAGATTTAGCTTCACAAGCTTTGAAGCAGCAGCACAAATTATGGGTATAACTTCAGTGAGAAAAACTGTGACTGCCTTCATAGTATTAGAAAAAGGAAGTAGACTGAATAGCAGAACACATGCATTTATTTCAATGTTACTAGGATCTAAATCATCTATTTGAGGTGACAATCAAACTTGAAACTGTGATCATGTTGCCTCAGTTAAAAAAAAGCTAAAAGACTTTCCCATTTAAAGTAGTAAAGAGGAGATTTCTCCTTGAATATTATTTCAACAAAATTAATGAAGAAATGAATACCATGATAAGAAAAACAAAGTTTACATGTATACATAGCATTTGGCTAGGTAGAAAACATTTCAGAGGAGTTGCTGTTCCCTACTTTTTTTTTTCAGTTGTATCTGGCAAAATATGAAATTTACAGTCTGAAAATGTAAAAAAAAAAACCTCCAGTGAAAGAATGTATTTTGAAATGGCAGTTACAAGAGATCAATTTTAGAAATTTAGTAAATTGGAAATGTTCATTTCTTGGTTTGCTGAAATGAAATGATGTTGATAGAATTGTAGATTTTAGAATACATTTTCAGAGGTATCTTTTCAAATAGTTTATAGGAATATGGAATTTGAGTAACATAAATTTTATGAGTAAACACACAGCAGTGCAGCATGCATGCATGTGTGTGTGCATGTAAAAATGACAGATATGGATGTGAGAATACACACACACAAACCACATATAAGCAGTTTGGGGAATGGTGGATGTGTTCATTTTACAGAGGAACACATTTAAATGGCTGAACTTGGGAAAAGAGCATTTGAAAAAGCAAATCTAATGACTAAACCTGAATGTAAGTGGTCCTTAAAGAGAAGTATTGCAGTTGTTTAAAGAGTTGATAATAAAAGTTCCATTCTATGATGACTGTGATGAAGGCTAGCAGCCTAAAATTAAATATTTATTGGGGCAGTCCTCGTTGCAATTGCTATTGGTGCATCTATTGTATTCTTACTGAACTAACTTTCATTAACTTTCACTCTGGACAAAAATGGTAGAGCAGAACTTAAGAACATATGGAATGCCTGTCAATTCCTTGTTAACTTTGGATTTCGTACAGGCCAAATATCTGGTGTTGCAAAAATTGTGGATGGCATTGAATATCAATTTTAAGCCAGCTCATTCTCTTATAACCTTAGAAATACACTAGGTGCAGAAATGCTGACAACCTGCGAGCATTTCTATGCCTTTTCTTCTTCTGGTTTAAGGAGGATTTTTCATACCCAGATATAACATCCTTCCATCGGTGCTACTGTCTGGCAGGTAGGCCAATATGTCCCTGTCTCAGTGCACTTGCCCTTTTGATTCTGGGGAAATTGACACAACTCAACATGTTCTTTTTTATTGTAACTTTTATAAGGATCTCCTAAAGGGTATCATAACCCCTCTTTTACTAAGTACGCTTGGGAGAATGGACAATTTTTATACCATGAAACGTAAACCCTGAAATTGCCTACAAAGTGGTCAAATTTAAAACGAATTAAAATAAGACCACAACTAACATGAAACATAAATGGACAGTCCTTTTTCTTTCTTTCCTTTTAACTGTTTGATTTTATCAGGTTGTATCTATTGTTGATCTCTGAGCATAAATCATTTGATTTAGAACTAACTGATATAAAGCAGGTCAAGGGTAGGAGGCAAATCTCCCATGACATCAGAATTCAACTAGTAAATGTAAATTAGCAAGAAATATTGCCTACCCTATAAGTATAGTAGAACAACATCATCATACTAGAACAAAGTGTGTAGTATAATATTAGCCCTTATATCAGAAATAAGCTCAAGGTGATTCAGTGGGATATAGCAGGCTTATCCAGCTTGGTTCCCTGCAGATGAATGGTAAATGTAACAGTACTCCAAACCAACAATTGGCCTTCAGCAGATTGCCAGGTTATGAAAACTGAAAATAAATACATTGCAGACAAAATAGCTGGTGCTGCAGTTACAGTACAATCCTTGATAAGGTGATCCAAGATTTAACATGTGTAAAACAGTGATCTATAGTTATTAAACTGTGTGGTTATGACAATCAGTTAAATTAAATTATAGTCTCCGCTTTGAAAAATATCTCAAGTTCAACTAACAATCTATGAACGTTTCTCATGCTGCTTTTATTATTTTATCTGGAATATATGACGCTGAAATGGGAAGGGTTTAAAAAGTGAACTGAAAGACTTGCTTTAATGTAGGATCCAGTGTTTAGGAGAAGACTTTCTTGGACTGATCCTGATCCTATTTTAACACCACTCCTGATCTGAGCAGTAGCACAGGCCCTTAAGTGTCTCAGGCAAACTTTCTCTTGCAAATGTCTAAAATATAGCATTCTTGTTCAGATACAGTGCTCTGCCAATATATTAGTTGGCTTTAATTAGCTGTGGAAAGCAAGAAAGCCAGCAGGAGCTTACATTCAGAGTACTGATTATAGAAAAATTATCTACTTCTGCCAGAGAACAGAAATATTCTCCCATATATACATTACAAAAAAAAGAACAATCAGTCAAGAACACGCCACAGACTAGCCCTTGGTAGAGCAGCTATGAAGGTCTTGGAAGATATTCAAATGTCATGTGTCTAATTCTACAATGGTCAAAATTGTGCAAGCGATTGTATTACCTGTGACACTCTATGGAAGCAAAAGTTGGCAGGATAGGAAGAATATTGACACTTTTGAACTTGGGTATTGAAGGAGACTCCTGACAATTCCATGGACAGCCAGGAAAGTAATCCAGTGGATCATTGAACAAATCAACAGAGTTCTCATTCAAAGTCCAAATGACCAGGTCAAATTATCCTACTTCAGATATACTAGGTGAAGACCCATCTCTCTGAAAAAGGCTGTAATGCTG